GATAAAGTAATAAAAAATGTTAAAAAGTGTTTTAATGTTCATTTTCCTCGATTTCTGGTTTCTGGCTTTCGATGGGATGGTGACTTTTCACGTTTGCTTCATTTCTTTATCTAATATTTCGAATACCGAAAAAATTAACTGAACTTGTATTTTTATTAGGTATGTAGCCCATTTCGGAGGAACGAACTCGAAGTTGGCAAATCAAATNCGGCCCATGTAAAACCTGACAAACAAAAACCAGTTTTCGCTGAAAACTACTTGAAAACTCACGTTCCACTAATTCCAGTCGTTTTTTTTCGATTATTTATCGAAATGGAATTCATTCTTTATCATCTTTAATATGCCAGTTCGGTGTTATTGTTAATTGGCGGGCAAAATTTATATAAGACTTAAAGAAAAAGCAAAAAGTTTTTTGGAGCAAAATTGTAAATAAAGGATGTAAGAAATGTCAACGAAAACACTAACAGCCACTGTGAACACCCTTCAGCCCACAATCCCAAAACTTGTTTTCAAAGTGTTTTCGTTGTCGATCAGAACATGGTATTAACTTAATACTAATAATAATAATAATAATAATAATAATACTTAATACTATTAAGTACATATCAGTGGCAAACTCATATAAAATGACGCACAAGAAATAGAAAACAAATTTTCTTCTATCAAAATTTCTTAAAAACATGTTCACTTCACAGCATAAATTATTATTTTTCGATCAAATTACTTCATATAAGCCAAGTACTTTCTCATTTTCTTTCACAATTTCTATAGCACTTGTACGTACGAATATGTGATTTATACTTAATTTCNTGTTTTCAAAGTGTGTTCGTTGTCGATCAGAACATGGTATTAAGTAGAGCTCTTGATTTTGTTCGCACATTTTCAAACAGCCCGGGTATATGAGCAGCGAGTACTCGCACACTTGTTCAATGCTCATTACTCGAAAATTTTCGAGCATGAGCTCGAGCAATTCGAGTTTTTTCGAGTAATTTGAGCAATGTTTTTTTTATTATATTGACATTTTTGGTAGCAACTTTTAAATTTTTCAAATTATTGATGTATAATGCAAAGATTGTTACATTGGTATCTAATAATATAATTTATTTAACATGAATTAGAAAGCAGCTGCTGACAAATACAATTTCAAAAACTCGAAAATTTTGAACAAGCATTTGAGCAGTTGAGCAATGAACGATTTTCGAGCGAGTATCGAGCTACTCGCATTGCTCGATACCCGGGTATCTAGAGCTCTAGTATTAAGTACATATCAGTGGCAAACTTTTTTAAGCTGTAAAGTGTAAAAAACAACAGTAAACGAGTATGCATTGCATATTATTAGGACAATGTTTACGTTCGCAGTTAAACTTTTAAGCAGGGACGTGAACCGGATGAAATATTTGTTTGGTCCGGTTCAGCGGTTCGAACCGTTGTTGCACTTTTGGATTGGTTCGTCAAGGCAGGTTTTTTAGTCTTAGAACCGGGGTTTAGGTTCGGTTCAACGGTTCGAAAGACAAAAAAATTACGCGCAGGTTTAAGTGTCAAGTGCCAAGTGCAACAACGCGCAAGGTTAAGGGTCAAGTGTCTGTCAAATGAGATGGGTTGCCTTTACATTTGATATTGTCACATGGTAAAAAAACATGGTGGGTATTACCATGTTTACCAAAAAGAAAAAAAAGTAGGTACATTTATCTATTGAAAATTGGTTGAAACGAACCTTTCAATCTTTATAGAAAGTGGTTCGGTTTTCGGTTCGGATCAAACATTTGTGGGAAATTTTGGTTCGGTTAATGGTTCAGTAAATTAATAGAAAAGAGCGGTTTTCCGTTTCAAAACCGGTTCGGTTCAAAACCGGTTCACGTCTCTGCTTTTAAGAGCCCTCAACAAAAACCAAAGAACGTAAATGTATAAAGCTGAAATCACACGATTGGTAAATTGTACAAGTATTTGGCAATTTCCATGTACAGATCGTGTGATAGCAAAATAATTTTTGTATGTTGAGAGACAAGCCAAATTTTTGGACACATGGTACAGATAAAAATCTATTCTTTTGCACAAATCGTGTGAACAATTACATGCAAGTTAAGATTTAAAAAATGTACAAATATTTTATCTGGCACTTGATGACAAATGTAACAGCCAAATGAGGACAAAAGAAAAAAGTAATACCATCCCTGACTTATAACATCTGGACTGGCAGGACTTCCTTCTTTCGTTAATTTAAAAATCCATCAAGTTTTTATAAATTAAAATCATTATAAATTAAATAATATATCATCATATTGATAATTTTATGCATTATATTTCGTAGATTGAAATTGATGATAGTTTGTTAATTTATATTTTCTACACCAAAAAGTTGATTATTGATAAAAAAAAAATTATTAACCAAGCCATACTGCTGCGATTTGCAACATGTCATTGTTATGCTTGGTTTTCCTGAGGTCGAAATCACTAACATCAAGAACTGTCTTCATCTGACAGCTATTCATTTGGTGTCAAATGCGTTTTCATAACATCTTAAAAACAAACAAAACTCCCAACATATTGGCAAATACATTTTAGTGGTCAAATGTTGCAACATCTGCGGCGTGGGCCGTTTTCACTTTGCGGTCATTTTATAATATATGACAACAAACGCAAATGACCCCACATGATAACCCGTTTTCATTATTTTGACAATATTTGACGCCAAATATGATCTAATGCTTGGTTTTCATTAGGTCAAAATCACTGACATCAAAAACTGGCTTTATCTGACAGCTGTTCATTTGGTGTCAAATGCGTTTTCATTACATTTTAAAAACTGACCAAATGTCGACACCGCAGTGCATGTCAAATACTATCGTCAAACTTCACGTTTGACATCAGTAATGCAAACGGAATGTCAATCATCTGACACCGAAATTTCACGCCACTCTTTGACATGCACTGCGGTATCGACATTTGGTCAGTTTTTAAAATGTAATGAAAACGCATTTGACACCAAATGAACAGCTGTCAGATGAAGGCAGTTTTTGATGCCAGTGATTTTGACTTAATGAAAAAAAAGTATAACTGTGGTTTAAGTATCGACTATTATTTTGAAAGACAAACATTTAAAAAAAAAAGTAAATAAAATACAATTTTTAAGTTTCAATTTGTGCTCGTATGATAAAAATCGACCTCTAAAATCTACCACATTTTTGTCAATCTACTGTTTAATAAAATTATATGTGGGAACACTGCTGGCCACTCTTATAACATCTCTGTGTTTACGGGTAAAGCAAAAACACAAATGTCATTTCGTTCGAGAAGTAAATACACAAATGTCTTTTCGAGAGCAAAATACGCAATTTTCGGTAACTAATTGAATTTTTTCCATATTTTGTTATCAAATGATGTTAAAAGTTTTCATTTTTACAGATACCAGACATGGAAACGGACGAAGAATTATTTAATTTATCTGCTGCTGTGTATTCCGAAGAGAATACACAACCGTCTACGCAGACATCGACACCTGAAATAAAAAAAAAAGGAAAAGACTTAATGTCGTCTCACCATGGACCACGGAGGATACACTTACCTTGATTTCGGCAGTTGAAAGCCACCCTTGTGTCTGGGAATATTCCTCACCAGAATATAAAGATCGCCAAAAAAGGGGCAGTGCTTGGCGAAATATAGCAGAAAGTTTTGGAAGTCGCAAAGTAGAAGAGTGTAAGGCGAAATGGGCCAACATTAAAACGGCTTATAATAGTGTTAAAAAAAAAGTTACTAAAACTAAATCTGGTCAAGGTGTAAACGAAAAACCCCACTGGCCTGTTTGGACTGCTATGAGTTTTTATTTCCGCCATGATTGTGCCAAAACAACAGAGTCACTAACAAATATTGAACATGAAGATTCGCTAAATAGCTCAGCATCAAACACGGCAGGGGGAACTTTACCCAAAGATCCTCCAGCACTTAGTTCCAACCAAGCAACGAAAACGCCCGACGAACTTTTGAAATGTGCTGTTGCATTGCTGAACAACAAACAGCCTTTGGCACATATTTGGCAACGCAACTGCGAATAATTGAAGAGAGGAATAAAGAATTGGCTAATAGACATCGACATTTTAAAGCAAGTTATGGAGGTGCTCTCCAAGATAAATACAGAGTAATATTACTGAATTGGTTCCTAAAGAATTTCTTTTTAAAATCAATAAAATGAATATGTAAAAAATTGCTTTAAGATATGTATTTAAATATACTCGTATGATAAATATATATGTATATATATGTATATTAAGGTGCTTTTTTCGGCGACTATTTTTTTTCACTCCCACCTCGAAGGTATTTCCCAAAAAATTTCATGGTGGGAGTGAAAAAATAGTCGCAAAAAATACCCTTATGTATATATTTAACATTAATTACAAAACTTTGTACTGAAAAGGTATTTCTCCAGTGCATGACATGAAGTATTCCTCAAATTCCTTCCGAATGGCTTTCACTTCATCGGTGATGTAAGTAGTTGGGCATTGTTCTCTCGATTCTCCGGCTTTTTGAAGCGCAATTTGTCTTCGTTCGCCTTGGATGAGAATGCCATGATCATCACCCACGTCTTCTAAGTAGTTGTCTACATATCTGGTGGGTTTGCTTACTAAAAAATTGCGTAAGGCACAGCATGCTAGTGTAATGACTTTGACCTTATGTTCATTGAGCTGAATTGGACGATATAATACTTGAAAACGCTTCGTCATTATACCGAACACATTCTCAACAACGCGTCTAGCTCTCGATAGGCGATAGTTGAATATACGTTGACCGGCAGACAAATTTCTTCCAGGATATGGCTTTAACAGATTTTTCTGCATTCGGAATGCATCGTCCGCAACTAATACGTACGGAACATCACGTTGACGGTCTGGCAAAGGTTGGGGTGAAGGTAAGTTAAGTGTATTGTTGTCCAGGGCGTACTGAAAAGTAGATTTTCCGAAAACTCCACCATCGGAGACTCTTCCGTAGCATCCGACATCAATGTAAAGCTATTTGTATTCTGCGTCCGCAATCGCCATTAGCACGATGCTGTGAGTACCTTTATAATTATAAAAGGTACTCCCTGAACGCGGAGGAGCCTTCATCACAACATGCTTACCATGAACTGAGCCTATACAGTTTGGAAAATTCCACCTCTCATTAAATTTTGCTGCGATGTCCTTCCATTGCTGTTCATTTGTTGGAAACTAGCAAACGAATAATAACAATATACAAATTTCTTTCATATGTATGTACAGATGAGTACCTTTAAATATTCGGATTTCAACGCTTTGTAAATTGCGTTACATACTTCTGGTATGAAGATGGAAATCGTATTTGGCGCGATGCGAAAAGCAACAGACAGACTTTTGTAGCTATCACCAGAAGCCAGGAAGCGAAGAGTCACCGCTAAACGCTCGCCAGGTGGTATTGCTTTGCGCATATTGGTGTCCAATTTTTTAATGTATGGAGAAACTAAACTGAGCAGCTCATTAAAAGTAGCTTCATCCATTCGTATATAGTTTTTAAACAAATGTTTTTGGTTCTCAACCTCACGAAATTCGCGCAGAGTCTTTACGTATGCACCGTCACTGCTTCTTATCTGAAGCCAATCTAGCATCCAAGCCGTCCGTTTTTTAGTTTTTCTTTTCCTTTCCTTTTCCTTTATTTTATTTAAATACGCACAAATGCATATTATGGCAGTTATTTTCTTTTTTCTTTGTATAGACAACATTTTTGATGCTAAACACTATCCAATAAATAAATATTCAGTACAGCTGATCAGCTGTTTCATTGCTTCAAGCCAACTGAGCCCGATAGTGTCATAAGGTTGTAAAAATATCTGCCACATTGTTGGTTTTAGCATATAAACACAGATATTTTCTGGCTGAAATGCGACAATCATATGACCGCTTAAAAAGTTATCTGGACAAAAATTGGCATTTGTACAAATATGTACAGAAAAATTGCTGTACACATTTATACATTTTGCCACATCGTGTGATTTCAGCTTAAGAAGCGACAACTCGCTAAAGTCGGCGAGTGAGGTCTGAAAGGTTGAGTGAGAAGTTCGCGTCCGTTTTAACATCCATTTTCGTAAATGAATTCGCCGCACATTTGGTTTCGCGGCGATAAAGAACGTTGAGCAAAAGTGATCGATGATAGAAATAATAAAACAAAATGAAAAAAAAACATGGCTGCAGCTCTTTTTGTTTATTTGCAGACGGCATTAACCAATTTGCATGCGCATGTGCATAGATTTACTTTATTTTATAATTTTATGCAAATATAAGTAAATTAAACACATGCGCTAGGCAAACCTTTATAAACTTCCTCTTTAGTATGGAAGTTGTAAACTTATAATTTATGGATTAAATTACCCTTTTTATATCAACCAAATGTACATTTATAATCAATAAATAATTTACATCAATTTGTACAAATGTACTCTTGCGATTTTCCTCCTAACATATGTATATTTCTACATCCGTGCAAATATACGTACATATGTACATATCCACATATGCCACTAAAATACAACAATAACAAATTCATTCATAAACGCATGCGCATATTCTTCAAGGTCAAACTCATTCATTCATAAATTCAATGACCATACATCTCCCCGCAAACTCATCGCCAACAAGCGCAACTTCTGCGCGAGGACCACAAAAATTCTAAAATGTAAAATTGAAGAAATCACAGCCAGTCAAATGAAAAGTTGCAACTCAGCAGTAAAATCTGAGGACNATACATTTTGCCACATCGTGTGATTTCAGCTTAAGAAGCGACAACTCGCTAAAGTCGGCGAGTGAGGTCTGAAAGGTTGAGTGAGAAGTTCGCGTCCGTTTTAACATCCATTTTCGTAAATGAATTCGCCGCACATTTGGTTTCGCGGCGATAAAGAACGTTGAGCAAAAGTGATCGATGATAGAAATAATAAAACAAAATGAAAAAAAAACATGGCTGCAGCTCTTTTTGTTTATTTGCAGACGGCATTAACCAATTTGCATGCGCATGTGCATAGATTTACTTTATTTTATAATTTTATGCAAATATAAGTAAATTAAACACATGCGCTAGGCAAACCTTTATAAACTTCCTCTTTAGTATGGAAGTTGTAAACTTATAATTTATGGATTAAATTACCCTTTTTATATCAACCAAATGTACATTTATAATCAATAAATAATTTACATCAATTTGTACAAATGTACTCTTGCGATTTTCCTCCTAACATATGTATATTTCTACATCCGTGCAAATATACGTACATATGTACATATCCACATATGCCACTAAAATACAACAATAACAAATTCATTCATAAACGCATGCGCATATTCTTCAAGGTCAAACTCATTCATTCATAAATTCAATGACCATACATCTCCCCGCAAACTCATCGCCAACAAGCGCAACTTCTGCGCGAGGACCACAAAAATTCTAAAATGTAAAATTGAAGAAATCACAGCCAGTCAAATGAAAAGTTGCAACTCAGCAGTAAAATCTGAGGACGTTTGCAAAAATAACTTATCTCGAGCTTAGCCATTGTTTCTGTAAACTTCTAAACCGCAGTGCTCCTTCCAACTTTTAAATTATTAGTTAGTGGTTTAAGATTTTATTTTAATAAAAAACAAAATAAACATAATTTTTTTGCACAAATGACCCATGATATTTTGATGTAAACTCAAAACTTGTGAAATCACATACAACAAATGTAATTTGGCAACATGGTTGCCTTCACCAGCTTCGGTCATCAAATTTAAAATTTTTGTAAACCGATCGCTTACGATCTGTTTACAGTTGACTCTAGATACTACGAGAAACATGTATACGAATTCAAAAAATTTAATTATTTTGCATTATTGATAATTGCAAAGCGCTGAAGTATGTATAAGTGGGAGTAGACATACAGACCTATTCTGCGTTGGTAAAACAAATATTGTTTACTATCATGAAAAGATTCAAACACAAAATCGTACATTAACCTATTCTGCGTTGGTAATCACATTTTTTTAACGGATAATAAAGCTCTTTTTTTAAACCCTTTTCGCATTCTGCGCACTTTTGTAACCAGTAAAATTTGTTACCATCTCATAAGCAGGTACAAAGTATTGCCCCATGAAATATACAACAACAGAATTTATACAAAACTTCATACCTGGAATGCTGAATAAATTAAAACGTTACCANCAAAGTATTACCCCATGAAATATACAACAACAGAATTTATACAAAACTTCATACCTGGAATGCTGAATAAATTAAAACGTTACCACGGTACCTATAATTGCGGTTACAAGAAGTGGTAACAATGTTTGGTAACAAAATTTGCTGGTTACAAAATTTCCGGTAACAAGCAGAATATTGCTACAAGATATTCAAGTTAGGAGTAGCCTACTGTAAACGTACATATGTATGCGCGTAAATATGTCAGGACGCGGCATTTCACAAGAATTTAAGAATTTGTCAAAATAAAGAAGGCGGAGGACGTGGGAGAGACGGAGACAACTTATGTTTCACATTTTTTCACATTTACGCGTTTGTTTTGGCGGAGGATGTGAGAAAGACGGAGACAACTTATGTTTCACATTTATGTGTTTATTTTTTGCATGCATATGAACAAAAAATTGGAAAACATTTATTCTTGCCCGATAATAACAAAATGTATGCATACTCATGTATAAATGCATAGATTTAAATTAAACTTATGCCATCCTTATATAACAAACATTAGTCTTGCTAACAAAGCCGCCATATACACACTTTATCCACCAAATCGCCCGACACATAACTTTTTTTGCACACTTTAGATATGTAAATTTCCAGATGAAAACAAAACATAGGTACACTCATATATAAATGCATAGCTTTCTTATTAAACTAATGCATTTTTATATAAAAGTACACTGGTTTCGTTTAANCAAACACAAAATCGTACATTAACCTATTCTGCGTTGGTAATCACATTTTTTTAACGGATAATAAAGCTCTTTTTTTAAACCCTTTTCGCATTCTGCGCACTTTTGTAACCAGTAAAATTTGTTACCATCTCATAAGCAGGTACAAAGTATTGCCCCATGAAATATACAACAACAGAATTTATACAAAACTTCATACCTGGAATGCTGAATAAATTAAAACGTTACCACGGTACCTATAATTGCGGTTACAAGAAGTGGTAACAATGTTTGGTAACAAAATTTGCTGGTTACAAAATTTCCGGTAACAAGCAGAATATTGCTACAAGATATTCAAGTTAGGAGTAGCCTACTGTAAACGTACATATGTATGCGCGTAAATACGTCAGGACGCGGCATTTCACAAGAATTTAAGAATTTGTCAAAATAAAGAAGGCGGAGGACGTGGGAGAGACGGAGACAACTTATGTTTCACATTTTTTCACATTTACGCGTTTGTTTTGGCGGAGGATGTGAGAAAGACGGAGACAACTTATGTTTCACATTTATGTGTTTATTTTTTGCATGCATATGAACAAAAAATTGGAAAACATTTATTCTTGCCCGATAATAACAAAATGTATGCATACTCATGTATAAATGCATAGATTTAATTTGAACTTATGCCATCCTTATATAACAAACATTAGTCTTGCTAACAAAGCCGCCATATACACACTTTATCCACCAAATCGCCCGACACATAACTTTTTTTGTACACTTTAGATATGTAAATTTCCAGATGAAAACAAAACATAGGTACACTCATATATAAATGCATAGCTTTCTTATTAAACTAATGCATTTTTATATAAAAGTACACTGGTTTCGTTTAAAATAATGATCACATTTATCCACAGACGCCAACAATCGGCACTTGCTGACAAACACTTTGCACTTACAAACACTTTTTATTATTAATATGGACTCTTTCACATATAAGCACCACAGTATTTTACACATTCACTGAATATTATATATTTTACACCTTCATTTATTTATTTTCTAAATTAAAATACACTTTTTAATCACTTCTGCAAAATAATCACTGGCATTCACATTTGCCGCTTTTCTTCTGTTTTGTTTGCTTTTTCCGCATTCGAGGCGAAAATCAAAAATCTGCCGCGGACAGAGTCAAAAGGGAGACGAACTCCTCATCTAAACCTTTCAGATACGGTCAAAATCGTCGCGGCACATTTTCAAAGTAACGAGTTGTCGCTTCTTATACATTTACGTTCTTTGCAAAAACGAAAAACTCATATAAAATGACGCACAGGAAATGGAAAACAAATTTTCTTCTATCAAAATTTCTTAAAAACATGTTCACATCACAGCATAAATTATTATTTTTCGATCAAATTACTTCATATAAGCCACAGTATACAGCATGATACAAACATCTTTTTGTATCATAGTATACAGTAAACCAGCCATTGACAATACCCACCAAACAATTTGTGTTGCCGGCAATAAGAAAACG